GAATTTGAAGAAGGTCAACGAAAGTTTGTGTAGAGTAGTACACATGCTGCAGGGTCCTAATAGAGGAGAAACTTCTGATGCTACCAAATCAATTTCATCAACATCGTTGCCTCGCTCGTCTGGTCCAAACACAAGTAGCATCAAAGATTGTTTGGCAACGCGGCTGTACGCACAAACCCCAGAGTAAATCGGATCGCTGCAGCACTGCGGTTCAGGCCACTGTCGTCAGGAACAGCACTCTCGAGAGCAACTACAGGAAAGAAACGAGCGAAGAAAGCCACAGGTGGATTTGGTTTCCGAACAAAGCGAAACCAATGGACTCACAAGTTTTGCTGTTTGGCTGAAAAAGATGCTTGCAGGATACCATCTGTGGAAGATAAGCTTAAGCTAAAAGCTGCAGGACTGGGAGAGAGAGAAATCACGTTGGACAGAGGCTGGTCTGCGAGTCTCTTGCATGAGAAGTTATCAGAAACATATCCTAAGCTTCGTGATAGAGGAGGATATAAATTTTTGAGAACTGATGGAAGGTCAACTACAAGGCTGGTACTAATACCCGGTTCAAAGACAGAGGGTTATAGTGTTCAGTACTTGAAGGATAATTTGAATCAAGCAAGAGCGTATATCCGTCCTCTGCAGAACGACCTGTCATTTACGCCTTTGGAAGGCGACGGTGGTCTAATTGAAGTGAGTGTGAGCTAAATTGGTAACGGCCTTTGTTGTTGATTCCACTAAAGAGCCTGTATAGCGATTGTAAAGTTATTTATTACAATTATTTACTGATGGAACGAGAGCTCTCAATGATAGCCTACTTAAAAACCTAGAGGCAGGAGCAGATACAGGATTTTGTAAAAGGGGTGGGGGGTGTAAGTACCAGCACCCCAAAGGGCACCTGGTAGGGGTGTGGCCTCCCTCTCAAACCTCCCCCTGGAGCGACCCCTGACAAGAATAATGTACATAACCATGGATACCCTAGCTGAGCCAGGAACGAGAATTAAGAATATAACATGAAGTTTCTTTGTACATTTTGATTTTTTTTTTCATCAGAATTGTAATCAGCTATGATCAACTTTTCCTTAAGAACAGGCTTCTTTCCCAGGCCAAGTCCCAACTTAGATGTACGGAAATGATGCTCTATTTCATTTTGTCCCAAATCTTTCAGGGTGATATTCCAATGGAGGAATGCAGAAGATGTGGTTTCTACTTTTCAATGAATGACCTAAAGGAACATATTTTCAGCTGCAATCAAGGGTAAGTTATTTCTCTGGTGATACATGTTTAAATCTAGATCTAAATCTAAATCGCATACAGTGCAAAACCTCCCACATGGGATATATGTGCACAGTTTGATCCCATTTACAAAAACAATGTGGAATTTATAACTAATCATCTGAAAAGCTTTTACTTTCTTGGTAAGAAGTATCTGATTCTAAATGACATATTGTGTACTGTGCATGTCTAGTTCATTTGCTTAATCTTAAAAATTCCAGAAGTTGCAAATTTGATCTTATTTGCCATTCCAACCTAGCACAATGATATGTTAACTCATGATCAAATGCCTTTACTGTGTGATAAATACACTGTATGACAAATCATATGTAGATAAGCCACCTTCAATTCAAAAAAATTAAGGTCAGGATTTAATAGCATACAGCAGCTACATGTATAACCACGTTAAGAGGTGAAAAAAAAAACAGTTCTGATTACTTTGTTTTTGTCTGAAAATGTTTCACCATCCTATTTACAACAAAAGGCAGGAGATTGGTAAGGATGTTGGTGGACCTAGCAAATCCAACCATGAATTATCCAGTTTATCCTCTACTAACACTACAGCAAACTGTAAGTACACTTTTCATGTTCAGTCCTTTAATTTGCTGTGGAAACAAGTCATCACCTATTCTTGTACTACTAGTATTTATTATGATTCTTACAAGTTGCATTTAGTTGGTTATTTTTGTTGCTTTTGTGTTTTAATTATTCCAGTCTTGGCTGCTCTGCAAGATATTTTTCCTGAATGGGATATGACTACACTTGAGGGCATTTTGCAGAGGTGTGGTGGGGTTGTATCTGATGCAGTTGACATGGTATTTGCTGAGTTCCCACCCATGAATGTATGCAGTAATGTTTCTTCAAAAGCTACATGTGAGCCAGGTAACTATAACTTGTGGTACTGTAATAACCTGTAAGAATCAATTTAGATACCATACTATTCTTGGGAATAAGAAGTTACTTTTTAAATAGCAGTTAACGGTTTTGTTATCCAGTGTGACCCTTGTTTTACGAGAACTTGCAATGATTGGCTGTGGTTTTTCTTAGAATTGAATGGCAAGAAATTGGTTTCCTTCAAGTGTAACTGATGGTTTGCCGTTTCTTTATGAAATCCTTGTCAGTTAAATGAAATGTATTTTTCTGTTTCATTCCAAGGGTTTACAATTCAAAAAGGTGAACAAGATTTGAAAAGGGGAATTACAACCTCGAGTTAAATAAATTATTGTTGTTGATAGTTGTTGTGTCTTACACACCTTTCTCTCAGTTTTCACATTCTTTTCCAAATAGATGCATGGACATTTTCGCCCGGTTATATAACTTTACCAACGAAAGTTCTTATAAAATATTTGGTCTGCCAAAATGCCATTTAAATATTAAAATCAATGATTTTTATAATACATTAGGAAAAATAGCACATACACATACTGGGAAATTGTGAATGTAAATGTACAAACTAAAACATAAAAGTTTCTCTGATGGCTTGTTTTACTGGATTTATAAATATGTTTGAATATTATAGTGAAAGTTTTTTTTACTTCACTCTTGCAGATGCAAAGGAAGAAAGCATCACCACTAATTACTTTGAGGGAGGAGGTAGAATTGATGACAGTAAGGTGATGAAGAATGTAAGTGCATGCGACTTGCTGAGGCAGCTTAAGGAGAAGGTTCCTAAAGATGGTATTCAGCGGATCACTGTTGCAAGAAACACTTTGTGGGAGGACACTGTTGCACTGTTTAAAAGCTCAAGGTTTGATCCCACCAAGTCTCCTAGGGTAAAGTTTGAGGATGAAGAAGGAATTTATGCTGGTGGTCTACGGAGGGAGTACTTTACTCTTTTGATGAAGGCAGTAACCAATCATCCAGCTTTACTAGAAGGCCAAGAAAACAAAAGAGCCATTACATACAACACAAGCGCCCTTCAAAGCAATCTTTATTTCATTGCTAGTCGCATGATTGGTTGTGCGATTATGCATTGTGACATAGGTGTGCCTGTTTTCTCCAAGAGTATGTATTACTTCATATCACATGAAACTGTAGACATGACAGAAATGCCTCACTGTGCAGAGGACAACCCAGATTGCTCTGTTGTGGAACTGATACGCAAGGTAAGGCCGCCCACCCCGATGACAATGTAGGTATATTTGTAGATTTCGTGCACGATAGAATTTTTTAAGACATCCAAGACAAGATTGATTCACCTAAATTGTTCTAACCACAAACTCTTGATACATGTGCGGCTGGTTCTTTTAATATGTAAAGTTTTTTGAAGGGACATCACATGATATTGCAAGTTACATGATCAACTGATATATATATTTCAACTTTTTTTTTCTTAAAAGGTTGAAAACGCAGGATGTCCACAGGACTTAGAAAACCTTCAGGATGATTTGTCCGAGCTATTGCAAGCTGCAGGATGGGATAAGGTGCTTACCTATAAGAACCGCGTGGCTGCTATACAGCTAGTAGCTTCCCATGAAGCCTTCTACAAAAGAAAGCTTTCCATTGACCAGTTATGCAGTGGGTTGGATGTTCTTGGCGTGTTAAATCTTATCAGAAGACATCCTGAATCGATGCAGCCATATTTTGTACACAACACAGACACCCTGTTGACGCCAGCACTTCTCTTTAACCAGTTCCACAACATTGACAAGGTGGAGGATGAAACAAGAGAAGTAATGAGACAACACTTGAAGAGGTCCATATCTGAGTGCTTTGATGGTAAGAGTTGTTACAGTAGTTAGTTTTACGTTTTAAATAGACTGTCTGCTGTCCCCTATTTTCCAGCCTGGGTAGAGTCCAAAGTTTTTGTGGGGAGAGAGAGAGAGACATTGTATTAAGTCTTTTGGAATCCCTGAAAGATGTTATCAAGGCCCTTCAGAAAAAAACATGAAAACTAATAGTGAAGTAAAATGTTTAACCCCCATCAAGCACTCAGTGTTGATTTCAATGTATTTAACACACAATAGAACTTCAGGCGTAAGTGGTTGTCCAATTTGAAGGTAATTAAAATAAGATTCCTCTGACTGCAAGTTCGATGAGTACTATGACCTTGCACAATAATTATGGCATTCCTGGGAATATTATTCATCCAGTTAATTCCAAGTTGGAGAGCACTTAGTCCTACTACACATACTAATGACTGTTTTTCTTTTCCAATCCAGAGTTTGGGTCTTCAAAACTAGTTGAATTTCTCATGTTTGCAACAGGACTTGGCGCTCTACCTCCTTTGGGGCTGGATGAGAAGATCACTATTTACTACAGAGAAGATACCTGTCCTCATTTCTTTGCAGAAACATGTACAATGGAACTAAAAGTTCCTACTGTTCATGATCAATATAGCAAATTTTATAATAGTTTCCTGGAAGCTTGCATAAACAGTTCAAATAAGACCATGGGTCAAAAGGCAGTTTACATGTTCATTTGCTGATTTTCACATGCTTTGTTACATTTCTTGTTGAAGCCATATTTGACATAATGATTATCTGCCAATGACATTAGACGTAAACAGTTTTACAATAGTGATATTGACATTAATTTTTGAAATTGAAACATACCAAGTGTGCTAACCAAAGATAGCCAGATGCTTACATTGACTAGTGCCTATGGTTAGTTGATTTTGCTGCAAACATGTTTTTCTGACTGTGGTGAACAATTAATTATTATTATTGGCATCAATATTTTCGTGACACGCAATAACCTGTACTGTTTGCCTGTTAAAAAGTGAAGTTTGCCGATCATGTTGCAAGACGTGAAGTAACAAACAATAAAGTTTGAATAAAAATATCAATTCCATAACAGTCACTGTTCCTCAGTGGGTCTATGGCTTGTTTTAGTTCTTGTGTTTCTTGTAGATTCAGTGGGCACTCTGTCAAGGGCAATTCAATCATTTCATCAGAATCTGACTCTGGCAATGGACTATCCCAATCTAGACCATATTGCTCAACCTCATCCTGAAAATTATGCAACACAATCATTTTTTATTCAGTAACTATATATATATATATATTTTATTTTGTTATTATTGTTGTTTTTGTTTTTTTTTTTAGGGGGAGGCTGGGGTGATAAATGTTCTCTATTAAAACAACATAATTCCTTGTAAAACTGGCATACAAGGATTGGTTGACTTCTGTTTGCACTGATATAATGCTAATTTCTTGGGTAAGGGCGACCACTTCCCATTGTAACTACCCAAAAAAAAAGAGGACACTATGACTACAAATATCTGCATGCTTTTACAATCACTAAGTTTTCCTTTGTGCAACAGGGCAATGTCAATTAAAGAACACAACTATTTGATTCAATTTTTTTTTTCTTAAAGAAAACTTGAAGCATAGTTTTGGCATGCTAAGACAACTTCAAACTTCCCTTGGTTCCTTTGATGTACCACAGTTTTGTTGCCACTGACTGCCAAGTTTGTTCAAGAGATGTAGATATTTTTGGCTTCTTACCTCTCTCAAATCTTCAAACATTTCTTTAGCAATTGTATGACTGCTTCCAGCTATTCTCATCATACCAGATATGAAAAGTTGTCTTAGTGTCATGCTATTTTCTGTACAAATTGGTTTTCTGATCCAACCCTCTTTCCATACATGTAAATGATTGTTGATCCTGGGAAGGTACACGTAATGCAAACAAAATATGTGGATTTCATTGTCTATATCCAGAGTCTCTGTGCCCTCCAAATGACTAAAAAGGTTGTATTTAAGGCCAACTACACCAGTGAACACATCCCGCCACAGCCTTTCAATTCTTTGGTTGTGGACTGATGATCCTGTTATCATGCTTCCGCGCCCAGGGCCTCTTGCAGGGTGTGAAAGCATGAATAAAAACACTTCCACATTTTCCCCACCTTGGTCCGCTCTTACCCGTGAAGGAAGGCCATAACTTTCTACAGCGTTATCAAAAAGATTCAGGACTGTCGAGGCACGATTGTTATCAGAACATTGTAAAAACACAGGGATCCTTGACTAGCCATCCACTCCTCCATGTATGACGAGGCGCCACCTAACAAATAATATTCAAGAACTGAGACTGCTTTGTGCCTGTAACATGCCAGCATGTAGGGTCACTTTTTCAATAAAAGAAAATAAGTAAAGGAAAACCGCACATAAGGAAGCTCTTTTTTTACAATGACTGATTTTTGATGTTTCAGTAAGAAATTAATAATGTTAGTTTCAAAGACAACACTCCCAAAATTATCAGAATTCTTGGTTTTCACATGATGTCATAAAAATTAAAAAAAAACTAAAGTATACCTCCCACATAGTTGTTTCCAACATGGTATGTGGATATACAGAAAGTTTCAGGTTCTCAAGATGTTTTACAATGATTTATCAAGGTTTCAAATGTGTCGTGCAATCCGTCATGTTACTTAAGCCATTAAAATAAACAAAATTGATCAGCTGAAAGTTATTTTTGCATTGTAGATGCTTATAAGCCAATTTAACCTAATTTATAGTGAATTCAATCTTTTCTGATGAGATTTTTTGCGTAATTATGACTTTAAAGTTTTGGCCGCCATGTTGGTGTCCCAAAGTGGGACACCAAGATGGCTGCTCCATACATTTGTTACTAAAAGTATCTAATACTCACTTGCCTGTAACTCTTAAAAGAAATGCTTTTGGACTTCAAAATTTGGCCAAGATGTGTAGGTTTATACCCTCTACAATTCCACAAACATTTTGTGATCAAAATCTGTTATTTTATGCTTCTGAATTTTGATATGACGTCAGTGAAAACCACCAATAGCTCTTCCTCAGTGACTTTTTCTGACTGTTAGCAGCCAAGTTTCCTGATTTTATATGTCGGCTATGAGGTTAAGCAGTTCAGTTTTCTCTTGTAGGGTTGGTGTAGTTGAGGATTTGTTTGGTGCATTAATTTTGTACCATGAGCCATAAATACATTTAGTATAAATGGAAAGCTGAACAAAGAGTTTTCTGCCATCTGATTGGTTGAGCGGTTCGGCATATGACGCTATATTCACCGCCTAGCGCGGTGAATATAGGACCAAAACAAAATGGCTGTCAGCAGCCGTTTTCCAAACGTTTCGGACGAGGAAATCAGAGAAATAAAGGTCCCGAAATCAACACAAAATGCTACGAAGTATGGTGTAAGACTGTTCAAAGGTAAGTCAACTTCTTCCGCTAGTCTTACTATTTTATTTTGAAACTTAACAAACTGTCACAGATCGATAACAAAAGCTGAACTTGCTGTTAAATTTTTTTCTCGGAATGGTTTGCACAAGCTGAATTCGCAACTGCATGAGTTTGAGTCCATGGAAGTGACAGAATTAACCAATGTCTCTCAAAGTTTTACTTATCAGCAGGAAAGCAAGACGGGAGTCATTAGATCGCTATCAACACTCACCGCCTATAAATAAGAAATTCTCCATTTGCAACACAGTTCAATTTAATGAGGCAAATAAAGCTTTAAATTCCTACCTTAAGCACCTTGCCAGCACAGGAAAAATAGCCGGGACGGTTCACAAAAATCCCTTAACAGCGGAAGTAGTGCAAAAGCTGTTTGAGGCAGGACAATTAGCGTGTGCGGAAACAAAAAGTCCTCTCGCTTTGCTGCAGACAACACAGTTTTACGTTTCTCTCTATCTCAGGAAAATAGGGAGAGAAAATCAAAGTTTAATGAAGAAATCTATGCTCCGTCTGACGGTGACAGCCACAGGTGAGGAAAACGTTGCGCTAAATAAAGCAGAACCAGGCGCAGTGCTCTCCACTAAAAATCACACCGGTGGCATTGATGGCAGTGAAGATCACGGAGATGGGAAAATATTCTCATGCCCCGGTTCCAAAAGATTCCCGGTTAAGACGATTAAAGCGTACCTTTCCCATCTGAATCCAGAGGTGGATGCGTTATTCCAGTGGCCCAAGGATGCAAGTGTGAGGTTCAGTCCAGAAGAGGATAGCATCTGGTTCGAGAGGAAGGTTTTAGGCCACAACACGCTGGAAAATGTGCTGAAGAACATGACCCAGAGAGCCGGGATCCAGCCATATTTCAGGAACCACTCTCTCAGGGCCACAACAGTACCGTTCTTTCTTCAGTGAACGTGGAGACACGGCAAATTAAAGCAGTGACTGGCCATAAAAGCGAAGCAAGCATCGAAAGTTACTGTGAAAGGCCAACCCTGCGTCAATTCCAGCACATGTCTTCGGCGCTGACTTCATTCATACATGGAAAGGAAAACACGCTACGAGAGCAAGCTGCGTCGTCTTCTTCAACTTGTGGGTCAACCAAAGCAGTCCCAAGCACTTCAGCTGAAGTAGTAGCTGTTCCAACAACAGCAACCATTCAAGACAAACAAAACGTCTTCATCTTTCATGGATGTTCTTTCACGTTCAATATTAACATCAACAAGTGATTGTTAGCCGTTGCAGCTGTTTCCTTTGACTTTGCTTTTGTAAAGAGCTGTTTTCCAGCGAATCGAGGAACAACTGGGCGGTCTTTCTGACTGTTGTCCGCTTGTTTGAAACTTTGACACGAACTGAACGAAATCCGTTTGAAATGTTTATCATGTGATCATTTGCTCGTTCGTGAGACCCCCCACATAGCGCACGTGCTTGAGGCTTATTGAGAATTAAACAGCAAATCAGTTTTAAAGTGTTGATCGGCGATTTCTCTGTTGTTCAGCTTTCCAATTATACTAAACTTAAATATGATGCAATTTTTCTTCATCAAGGTGGGTTTACACGTGGGCGCTGAAATCCCTGCTACTTTACACTTGCGACAAAAGGTACATGTACATTAAAAAACCACCTGTGTATGTAAACAGGCCAAGAACCACCGAGCCCCCATCCCCTGGCTGGAGGAGTTCCATATAAAAGTGACGGGTTTCAGGGGTTTAAATACATCGTTTGCTACCTCTTAGATTCTTTGATTCTAAAATGCATCTACCAGCATTTAAATGGCCTGGGTACCTTTTGAGTATTAGCAGGGAAAAGTGTGTCATGAACTACTTATCAGCAAATTAACTTTTAGAATTGGTACCTCTTAGGAGTAAAAGTTGATTCTTTTTAAAATTTCCGACGATCATCCCGTCACCTTTATATGGGCGCTTCCCCTCCCCCGGGCACTGAACATTATTTAAACATGACCACAAGTGAAATATACATCAATGTGCCTTTCCTTAATCGCTACCTTATTAATTTGTGGTGCCCATCAATTTGCCACAAGGCATTTGGTCCATAATCACTGTAGGATCTTCTTTGTATAGTATCCATCCATCTAAGTACGGCGTCTTCTGGATCAGTTCGAATCATTGATGCTCTTACTCTTGCGTGCTGGATTACTATGCCCCGACGGGTCAGCTCACCCAACATACGACGATATCCAATGTTGGGAAACAATGCCTGCACATCTCTAACAACGCCGTCTAAATCTTCGTCGGAAATGGTGGAATACGGTAATAGGTTTACCAAACCGTGCTCACGAATCCTACGATCCACAGTACTTAGCGAAAAGCGTAACATGTCTGCTACCTCTCTTCTTGAAAATCGTTATCTAAGAAAATATACCAGTTGTTCTCTACTGATCTGGTAAGAAGGTCTTCCACGGCCACCAGAATTTAGTAAAGCTGCTCTGTTTCCCGTTTCCTCACTTTCCACTCGTTGTGAACAAAAAGTTAATTTTTCGTAGGCGAACATGATGCAGTTCAGAACACTCGAATCTAAAACATTGGCGGTTACAAGTCTGGCTACCTGTCGTGCTAGCTGTTCGCCACGAAAACACAGTCCATCTAATGTTTCATGTTCCACGTTGTTCGCATGAAGCTCCCGCTGCACATCGTGAATCATTCCACAGGGGGCCTACACAATCTGTTTGTGTAGCCGATTGTTATTTTATAGTAAATGTACTGGATTTACCGTTTGCTTCACCTATAGCGATACATCGCTAACTATGTATATAAATCAATGATAAATAAACGTTGAATTACCTTGCCTGTGGTGTATAGTCGTCCTTTTGCCTCAAAAGCGGTTTTTTGAGCGATTTTGAATGAATTTGAGTTCGCGGTTGACTGTTCCATATAATAGATGGACAAGGGAGGAATCCTTGTTTTGAAAGGGCTCCAGCGCCGGAGCGATTTTTCCCCCCAAAATCGCATTGCTCCGCTTTCAAACTTCGCAGCATAAAGAACAAAAGATTCACGATTCTTCTCGTACCTTCCAATCGAAAATCCATCCAAACGGCCCGGAGCTAGCCAATCAAAATCAAAATCAAAATCAAAATCCCACAGTATTCGAGCGACTGGAATGCGTAGCAAGATTCATACGTGCCAGCCAGAAACCGTCCCGCTGATTGCCTCTTTTTGATTGGATGTCGTTAAACAACAAATGCTTACCAAGTCTTCTTCATCAGTTATTGGGCGCTTTCCATTTAGTCAAAATTTCCGGAATTTCCGGTTCGGCGGTAAATGGAACACGTTTTGTCGGTTCGTCCCACTGGAAAATTCCCAGAAAAAGTGGAAAATCTAAAAATGTGGTCCCGTTTTCCCGGTTGGAATTTCCGAACGGCATGTCGTGTTCCATTTACGTTTCTCGTAGTTTGTATCAGTTCCAGGTCCACGGTCGGGCACCGCGCCACGTACCGGGGTTTACAACCAAATGGAACAACTTTTTACCAATCGGAAATTCCACTTTTGCTACCACCGAAATTTCCGGGTTTTTTTCGTAAATGGAAAGCGCCCATTATTTAACCATTTGTTTAACGACATCCAATAAAAAAAAGGCAATCAGCGGGACGGTTTGTGGCTGACACGCATGGATCTTGCTACGCATTCCAGTCGCTCGAATACTGTGGGATTTTGATTTTCTTCGAGGGCTAGCTCCGGCCGTTTGGATGGATTTTCGATTGGAAGGTACGAGAAGAATCGTGATTCTTTTGTTCTTTATGCTGCGAAGTTTGAAAGCGGAGCAATGCGATTTTGGGGGGAAAATCGCTCCTGCGCTGGAACCCTTTCAAAACAAGGATTCCTCCCTTGTCCATCTATTATATGGAACAGTCAACGGCGAACTCAAATTCATTCAAAATCGCTCAAAAACCGCTTTTGAGGCAAAAGGACGACTATACACCACAGGCAAGGTAATTCAACGTTTATTTATCATTGATTGATATACATAGCTAGCGATATATCGCTATAGGTGAAGCAAACGGTAAATCCAGTACATTCACTATAAAATAACAATCGGCTACACAAACAGATTGTGTGGGCGCCCTGTGATCATTCCTTCTATTCTTGTTATCAACGTCTGTCGAAGCTCACCACATGCGTCCGCCATGTTTGTTTACGAAGAACAAATCACGTGATTCGTTTTGGCGGGAAGTAAGTCCGCAGTGCATGCTTTCTTAAATGTCAAGACGAACATCATAATGTCAAGACCAACATCTTTTTAAAAGGCGTTTGTTTTGTTCATATATATTATACGTATGAACCTCATAATGTCAAGACAAGCATCATAATGTTAAGACGACCATTCAATTTTTTTAAAAGACGATTGTTTTGGTCATATATAATATACATATCAACATCATAATGTCAAGACGAACATCCTAATTCAAAGACAAACGTGTTAATGTCAAGACGTATTCCGTAATGTCACGTTTAAGCTCCACATGCCAACGCATTAATGTCACGACAGACATTTTAATACCAGTATAAATTCAAAACATTAAGACAAACATAATTTTGACACTGATAACGCGCCATACAGGGCTGCCTTTAGAGTAAATTCCAGAATTGGCTATTTGCGAGTTCCCCTGGCCTCTGTATCAAAACGAGGTTAAGTGCTCAGCCTTTGATATGGAAATGATTTCTTTTTCAAGCAAATAAAACTCATTTTCACAAGAAAGGTTGGGCAATTGGCCTCATTTTGAAAGTGAGAGTTTTTGGAACTCGAAAGTGGCCTATTTTGTTAATAATATGATAACTTTTCATTGCAGCCGTCTTGATTATTTTTTGGTGTCCTAGAGACTGGTGCCTAAACTATCCGATAGTCTGATCCGTCAGCGTGTTAAAGGAAGCGACCACTGTCCAGTTATTTTACTGCTGGCTCTTTAGAAGTACCCTTTGGAAATTTTAAAACTTTTATCGTCTGTTTTGTTGCCGTGTTAGCAAAGATTGCAAATTACTTTACCCTGTGCGACTTTTGTTGTACAGTTTTTAATGTTAGGCGCATGCACGAGTTATGACGGGTCCGATTAATTCCATGCTTTTCGACACTATAAGC